ATATATATATAATATAATAATAATGTATATAAAGATATACATTTATATCTTATTGTTAGCTTTGATTTAAAAATTAATAAGATGAGAGAAATGAAATAAAAATAAATTTATCTCTCTGTGGGAAGAATTGAGCTCACTAAATGTTCTTTAGTTATCTCGAGAAGGAAGCTGATGTGTACAGTTATGCTAACTGTTTATTGACTATTGCCGATCGGCAGCTCTTTTAGGACGGCAAAGCGGGCGATCTCACAACCACCCTTAGGCAAGACATCCTTCCCATTGGAACGATCATCCAGCGTGGACCCATCCGTTACGCCTGCATCATCAGCCAGCGTTCATCAATCAGCAACAACCGAAAAACTCTGACGATTTGCACGCTGCCGCTCGTTCTTCGAATCGCGGCGGTAGCTCGTGAAGAAAGGACACGATTTTTGGTTCCGTATCCGATAGTTCCTTTATTCCGTAGATCATTATATTTTGTGATGATCTTATAGATTTTTATGCCTTGTGTTCGAGATATATAAAAAGCAGTCTTGCAAATATCTCGTATTATAGATCTTTTTCTCTATATGACGTATATAGATGTTGTCTCATTTCATTGTATATCATAAATCTCTTTCATATCATAAATCTCTTTAATCTATTTTCGCAAATTTATATGACATTATATAGTACATTATCTATTTTAGTTTTCTTAAACATTTTATTTTTGTACATGCAATATGTAGCTAGTTTCTTTATGACATTTGAAATTATCTGTTTTTTTATTCGTTTTATATTATATTATATGTTAGCCTCAAAATTTGAGTCTCAAATGGAAAATCTCGAAAGTTAAATGAGGAAATTAATATAGACGAAATCGTGCGCAGATGAACATATTATTATCAAAAATTTTTCACTTGATTCCTGAGGATTTTGATTGTTTATTTATTATCTTCAATCTATACATTTTGCTAAACACATTATAACTTAATACAAATATTAAAGTTAAAATTTCTAGCAAAAATAGCGATAAATGTTTAATGTAAATTTCAAAAACATTTAGTTAATGACAAGGAATAAAGAATATTAAATAGTACAAAAATCTTGCAGAAATCTAATATTGGCAAATTTAAAATATGAAAGGTAGTAATTAATTATTTATTTTAAGTATTAACAATTGTTGTAGCTTTTAATATTTTAAATAAGTAATTACTGTTTTTCAGTAATAAATTAGCCAGTATTCGATTTTGTAAGAGTGTTTATTAAAATTTCATTTAACATTTGTTTTTATTTATATAATAATATGCAATTCAACCAAAACCTTGTAAAGATGATCAAAATAAATAATATAAACACCCCAGGAAATCATGCTGTTAGATTAACGATCTACATTCATTCATTTGCTGGCTCATATGTAATAATTTATATATTTCTCAAATTTGATTTTACAAATCTTTCGTTATATATATATTGTATATATACAAATTTTTGATTCCATGATTTTGTGTCTAGATCCTTAGTTTTACGAATCCCTTGTACAGTTTTACGAATTCTTGTACGATTCCTTGTACTATATATAGCTTCTATATACGAACTAGCACGTCTCCTTCGTATTATTCCAATAAATAAAATTTTGCTTATATAAAAAAAAATCCAAGATTTATCTTTTATATACTTTGTGTAATTTTTATACCGTAATATATCAATAATCTCATTTTACACTCACAAATACTTATCTATTCTAAGTCTTTTTTCCTCGATATGTGAGTGACGCAAAGATATAAATTAAAATATCAATGGAATTTTGTTTAGCGGAATAATACGTCGAGAAGAAAAACTTGTTGAAACTGTTACCTGAGTCTCCCTGTTGTTATTAAGGAGAAGTAACGTAATGATTATCTGTGACGCTTAGAGGTAATTAGTATAAGAACTGTTAGCACTCTATTCATTGCCAAATGTTATACGTAGAGATGTAATACGTAATGCTGTGCAAAGTCTGCGACAAGTTCTTTCAGGGCTATTTCCTCGTGTGAGATATTTATATCGCTGGCAAGAAAGACAGTCGTAAAATAAAGGGACTGCTTGTTAGTAACACTGATTAACAGATGTTACTTGTCTTACGTAATTTTATCCATTTGACTTTAAAGTTATTCGTTTTAAGAAGATTTAATATCCTACAAATATTATTTACAAATATTATTTACAAATATTACCCATGAATATAAATATATACGAAGATATATATTTTATATTATTTGTATATATTTATTATTAAATTAGCTGACAAGGCAAATCTATATGCGTATAATTTATACTGAATTATACTGAAGAAAATGATGTATAAGACAATATTAATGGGGTAATTTAAAAAATAACTGTGCAATTATTTATAGTAAAAGACATGACAATGAGTGAGGTAAAAAATTTATTAATTTGAGAAATTAGAATAAAATCTTTTTAAATTGTTATCTTAACGCTAATAGATTTGTTCTCTCTAAATCTTTTTTACGATGATACTTCAGGAATGTTCTTGAAAATAACCGAGAGAACTATTCGTGCATTTAGTTGAAAAAATCGGAAGCGTATCGTATTTATAAGACGAAGCATCGATGTCTATAAATGTGCGCACGCGACAAACGGTACAAACCTACTTTTCTCTATTACATAGTCGCGTAAAGCTATAGCTGGCGATGTAAATAGAGATGTTGTGTAAATAATTACATTATCTGTGAATAAATGTTAGAAAAAAATTGCGATCACATTTACATTACTGGCTGCTAGATGCTTCGTCGATGAAGATGTGTCAAGGAAAATATGCGAATTGGAGCTAAAATGAATTGATGTTAATTTTTGATGAAGTGGAATTCAATTTTTCCGCAGATCTTTTGTTCTTAGAATCTTCGAGTCTTCACAGACAATTTATGGAAAGAGAGAGAAAAAGATGTTTTAGCTCTGAATCGCAATGATGTGATGGAAATAGGAATGACATAATCAACCGTGTTTTATTACGCTTAAATCTATCACAATCAATGTTAGAAAATGGTAAAATCTTTCCTATAGGCGCGATTCACTATACACGGTGTTCTGAGTCTTGTATCGGAATTTCGGAAGTGTACTACGCTGTTTTGTGATTGATTTTTTTCATAGTTATTGCAAAAAAAATTGATGATTTTGTTTTCTATAATTTTTTTCATTTTTAAGACTGCGAAATATACTATCGCTCAAAAGAATTTCAACACACTCTGAAAGAGTATAGAAATTTTATAATATAAAAGATATATTCCATTTTTATATTTACTGTAAGCATCAGTTCATGCTTGTTGTCTATGAAATATTAAAATTATAAAAATAAATGATTTTTACAAGTACTGTAAGTGCAAAATGGAATACACCCAAAGAATAAAATATGAATAGTTTCTATGTTTTTTAAATTTATTATGACATATTTTCACTAAAAGAGAACTTATTACATTTTAAATTTTATACTTCTCGAAGCCTAATCTGCTTTTGGTTTTGATAATGAAAGTCAAACTCTTGCAAATATCTTAATTAAATCTAATAATATAATACCGATATGAGCCACAGGACTGTTGTAAATTACAAATCATTGTGTGCCTATTGTCCGAATTATCAGCAGTCTCCGTAGAAGTCTCGTTCCTTTCTCTCTAAATTTGAATCAGTGGATAATCACTAATTACCCAGTGCCATATTTTGTATTGATAATCAGTGAAGTTCAACTTCAAAAAAGGAAGAACGTTTGAGCATTATATAATTAAAATATCAATATTTGCACGTTAATTTCAATCTTCTAATACCATATTCATTGAATTTAAGCACTAAAACAATTAGATCACATAATAAAAATCAGCTAGGTTAAATATTGCACATTTAATTCACTGATTACCAGTGGCACTGATATCAGTGATTATCCATTGATTCAAATTTAGAGAGTTTGTTATTAAATCGGATAATTTAATAATAATATGATTACTCATAATTCATTCGCATAATTTGATGACCAAGTTTCAACAAGTATTAGACTTCTAATAGTTTTGACTAACTAATTAATGTATCAGAGTATTCTCTCTAATACGATTTCCTCTGAATAATTTGGTTATTAATTGTATTGATGAGGACCCGAATCGAGGATTGAAATATATATATATATATATATATTC